ACATACATTCCGGGTATACGTTAACACACATCGAGATCACAGCCGGCATTCACATGAATATATGTACAGAAACATGAGCACATTGGTACATATATGTACGAATACGTTAACATACGGTTAGATCACGGTCGAACCAGGTGGTCCAGGTGCCGCCGCCATATAGCTGAACTCCAAGCTTCAACCAGCCCTCCTTCTTGATTTCAGTGCGCGGTTTAAGCTTCGGACAGGGACTGACAACCAATCGATAGTACAAGACGAGTGGGTTTAAGGCTGACGTTGGATAGTACATATCGGTCTGGCGGTTAAACTTTATCTGTCAATAACCATTCACACTATAGATGAGCCGTACGGTGTACATACAAGTGGATTAATCCCATGAAATACCAATTCGACTGGTTCGTAGCGGACTATAGCCAATTGCACCGTCACATCAGACGGTATACCATAATGCGAATACACACCCCCATATACAGAGGTACAAACAGCATGTGTAATAAAACGGACTGCATGTGAACAAGAATTTGAACAGTCCATGACTATATCACCGAGCAATCATATTACAAACCGGACTGACTAATAGTCACTGAAATGGTGCCCCAAAGCAACTCACGTTCCGACTGTTCCACTACGTGGCCATATACATACACATGTACATATTACGAACATAAAGTCAATAAACTGCTATATTGGACCATTTTCCTTGCCCAAGGGCATGAATTCAAGTCTACCGATGAATCATACGTTGTTATGTACATACATGCATATCACAGATACATATGCAATAACTAGACATGTACTAAATATGTAGATATACATACCGACCATACACAGCTCGGGCCACTGCTTGCTGCCGCACCTGACGAATCCATATAAACATACATACACAATACTTCGCACATCCTTACACGCATACACAAACTCAGGTATAAAGATATTCTTCCGTCCAAGTAAATACATAAGCCGATACACAAACCACACTTGATTCTTGCACACCTATCCGTGTGCGAGCCAACGATGTTGAAACCATTTCCAGATTTGTACTGGCCACCCACGGCAAACGCGATGATGGCAGATTGATTGCGAGTAAAGAAATACTTTCCATTGGGCTTGACATTCCATTCGTCTCTTTCCCGGAGCTCGGTGAAGCCGACGGCTGTCAGGGCCTGCTTCACAGAGTCCACTGTATATGTATGTCCGTGTAAGCGATCGTGCTGACACACACTGAATATACTCATATATACACATAAGGAAGCAATAGACTATATACATGTATTATTATTAA